ATGCCGAGCTTTACAGTAAAGTGACAACAGAACACGTGTTTACCCCTTTGGGTCTGAAGTAACCATCGACGCAGGTCTCGCAGTTTATGCCACCGGTGTGGCTCATACAATTCACACACACTCCGCCCCCAATGTATTTTCCATGGACATTCAAACTCTGATTTCTATCTGCAACATCCTGATCATAGTAACACTCCTCAGTCTTCCCATGACAGTTGCATGCTAAAAGAGAAGGAACTGCGTTAGCAAACTGTTACTAAGGTATTAAAAAGAGTTGCTCAACATTTTATCTTTGGTGCTGCATACATTGTAACTGACAGCACATCCAAGCATTAATTTACTACTTCAGCTATGAAAAGTAATGTGGTCCCATCACAAATGCAGCCTGGAATTCTGTATATTATACTTTTTTCTTGATTTTTTTTGTCTGGGGGAGTACAGAAGTTGATGAGTTACAAGGAAAGCAGCAGAATGGTATAAGTAAATTAAAAAAAAAATCCATGAAAGCTGAAAAACATCCTAAAAACACTTGATTTGCACATATGCATGTAAGAACTGGGTCAGAACAAAGAGATTTCTAATCTTAAAACTTCTTTAGAAGTTCAGATTTGAACTCTTAGGCTTGAGGTGCACATGCAGGACAACTAATCTAATAATCTGTTGCTGTGAAAATGAGGTAGCTCGCTCTCTCCCCCTTCCCCTGTGGTATTAAAACATTCATTTTCACATAAAGAGAAATTCAAAGCTTGTCAACATTGCAGGGAGTCATTCTCCTCACATCTGAACCAGATCCCAGGGAACTGTTTCCACCATGAAAGTGCAGCAATTCACTGAGGGTTGAACCGGGGATAAGAAATGTCTCTTAAAAATTAAACATGAAAATAACTGTACCCTGATTTCAATCCAGAATGCAGACACAGTCCCTGCTGAAACAAAGACCTCTGTTACTTAAGTTAATAGGACACAAATAAGGAATTACTGCTTTTAATATGGGGATATCTGTTTCTTTTTATTTATTTTAAACCACTCATGGTAAAAATATAGCTGTAATACTACAATTGAATAAACATTTATGTGTAATGGAGCACTAGATTTTATTATGTTCAGAAATTTAAGTGGTATGTGGCCTTTGGAAGTAAGATGTTAAAGTTCAGTTGTAACTATCCTTACTACAGTAAATCTGAAAATGAAATTCCCTCCCTTTGGGAAGATGATATTTCAAGGTATGTTTTCATTCCATGTTGGAAAACTAGATACATTGACTATTCCATTAAAAAAATAAAAAACTCAAACCGCATTTTGATCACGTAAAAATATTTTGTTTCAGCATGGCTGAACATTATAGAAAAGTGTCATTTATACAGAAGTCATGCAGTTAAAGTTTAATATAATGAAAAATCTGTAAAAAACATTTTTTACTTATCATGATACAGTCCTGTTATTTTATCAAAACAAACCCACTATAATTATAAAAATTAAAGAAGTCAAAATGATTTTTTTTTTTACAGTATTCCACCAATATCAGCATGTTACACTAAAGTATTCTGAGTTCAATAAACCCATGAATCTATACGTAATTGTCTGTTATCTTTTATAAGCCAGCCTAAGTAAGTGAACAACAACTGATTCATAAAAAAAGCCACGGTTAGACATAAAATTAATTGCAAAATCATGTAGGATTTGATTTCAGTTTTCACCAGCAGTTGCCATAAACTTTTTCTCTTCTGTACTGCTTTCAACTTACGTTCGCATTCATGCTTAACCAGGAAAGTGCCAGCATGCCAAGGCTTTTGATTGAAACCAGGACAACACCGATCACATGTCTCTCCGCATGTGTTGTGCTCACACTGACAGACGGATTTCTAATTTGAAAGAAAAACAAATATTTACACAATGTGATGATTTGAAGAATCTGTCCAAATTATGAAAATACTAACATTAAGAATGGTTATACTCTGTAATTCCTCCATTTATTCATTTTTATTCATTTATGTATCCTGCATTCATCAAGTGAGAGACAAATGAGTGTGTTTAACTTCTATAGCTCTATTTTAAGAACACAGCCACGGTGCAAAAGAAGATAGTTGGGCAGAGAATCTAGGGAGAATCTAAGAATATAGGAGAATCTAATTCCAACTGGTTGAAGAAAGGAGAATTGGAGAATGAAAGTTCCCCATTATAGCAAATAAAACAAAGTGTTGGTAGCCCTCAGATACAGCTTCACATTATGGGAAAACTGATCTGATTGATAGCTGGCTTACACTAGGAGTGAGCCAATCTTTTCTTTTAACTTTAGCATTAATTTTTTACTGGACGAGTCAACTCATGGTGTAACCTTCTACCTGCAGAGTGAATTCTATGTGAGGGATAGCATAAATTTTTAAACTAACAGGAGATGAGAGCAGGACCACCCTTTCAGTGGCTTTGCAGTTCCTCAGCAGATCACCTTAGTCCCAGCACAAAAATATTGCTGTAGGGAACACCCAAATTCTCTGAGCCACAGAAGCAGCTTGGAAAAGATAAAAGAAACTGTAGTTTGGAGAAATGAGGAGCAAAAATTGCCTTCCCAATAGTTATGCAGTGGTGGAGATTCTCCTTGTGAAGCCACTCAAGATCAAAGCAGCAAGCTAAACTGGAGAAATTCTATGGCTCACAGGATAAAGCATAAACCTTGCAAAACAAGTTTAAGTTAAGGAATGCTTCAGAAGAGCAAGGCAGTAAATTCAAGCAAGTTTATTCTTTGTAATGCTAGGGGAAAGACTCATTGTGCTAACAACTACAGTCATGATGTTTATAAGCCAAAGCCCACCTATTTTGGTATTACTCAGTCTAAAGATTACCCCTGGAGAGCTAAACCAAGTACTCCAAATCTCTTATCCCTTGAGTTGTTTCACTTATGCTATCTTTTATACTGGTCAGACAACAAATACATATTTGTCATCCTGCAAAACAAGACACCGCACTTGTCAAAATGCCTTTATTTTATCTAGTAGCCAAACTATCTGAACTGAAATATGTATTAATTGCAATAACAGCATTTATTTTCTGAGGTAGGCCCAATTTAACAGATGGCACTGAGACAATGCTGCAGTTTGATAACTAATGCCATCTGAAAGAATAGTTCAACACTTGCTATACACAGAAAAGCCTTAGAAGGATTAAACCAAGGAATTTGAAAGATTTTTACAAGGATCCATGGAAACTGCTTAGAATTGTAAATGCATTCACTGTAAGATTTCTTTCAGTTTGGTGGGGTTTTTTATCAGTTTCTACACAATGGTTTAATGTCATATACATACAAGATTTTCTCTTAAATCCTGCAAAGCGCCTACTTAAGTGAATAGTATATGGAGAACCCACATTAATAATGTGACACATTATTAATACTAGTACTTTGGAAATTCTGTATTAGTGTTAATGTGTGCACAGATTTGGACCATCAGTAACAAATTATATTTCTATATTTCATATATATTGGTTATGTGTTTATTAATGGCACAGAAAGAATGCCACAAGTTGGAAGAAATTATAAACAGCTCATGATTTTCTGGACTAGCTTGACTGATTACTCAAGTAATATTTCCCACATAGTAAATGTGCCATTCTAGAGCCATTATATGTTTGCAAGTATCAATTAAATACTTGACAGTCATTTAGGAAACACCTTGATTAATATCAACAAGGAAAAGAAAGACTGACTGTTAGAGCTCATCTCTACAGCTACATAACAACTCAAATTTCTGTTGTTCCTAGGAAACTTTCAATATGGACTGAATTATCTGAAAACTATTCTTTCATTTCAGAGAAAGCCTCCACTGACAGTGGATGAATGTTTATTTTTCTGGTTGCTAGCACTGTTTCATCCTGGCACTGGTTCTGACCGTTCCTCTAGGTGAAGAACACATAAATTCACAGAACTCTGAGGAATATCAAGATTTTTTTCTCATGTTCCACCCTATGAATAAGGCACATCATAAAAAAAAAAAAAAAAAAAAAGAAAAATACATACATTGGTCGCTGGATCCAGTGGACAAGCCTTCGCATGGCCTGAACATATACACATGCCTCCAACAGAGATATCTTTTATAGAATAGTAATACTGGAAGACAAAACAGAAATTGAATTGCTAAGTGGACTGTAAAATGCAGGTGCCAAACTGCAGAATTCATTTCTGGTGACAAAACTGTCAGGTCCTGTTTTATTTCTTTTTTGATCTATTACAAATATAGCAGACAGTGTAATCCAAGCTGCGTCTTGATCAACAGATTCAGGCTTAGTGAAAAAAAAAGGGTATAAATTGGCACAGTTCCATTTGTTTGAAGTCACAAGAGCCATGTCAATTTATACACAGCATACACCAAACACGAGAATAGGAAAAGGCTATATGCACACTGGATAATGACAAGTCAAATGCTATAGAATTTATTCCTTTCAGAAAACACGAAAAGGAAAAGGCATGATGATGGGGAGAAGAGAAGGGCTAGAACAAAAACTAAGAAACGCTTTTGTTCACCTTAGGTGGGTCTTGGGCATTCACTGGACTGTGGAAAGAAGAACTGTTTTTCACTACTGGCCATTTGAATGACCATGGAATAGTCTTCATTACTGGAATTTAAATAATTTTTGACCTGTTGCTCTGCCATTAGACCATTTCTGTTTTTACTTTGGTGGGGATTAATAGCCCTAACCAGAAAGAAGGATGGAGAGATATTTATAATCACGTATGGCATCTGTGAAAAGTGATTCGCACATGCCACTTTGTCCATTTTCATCTGTTTTGGTGAGGGTCCTGTAACATCCTAACAATTGGCTAATCAAAACAAACATATGGTATTTGCAAATGTTGTTTCTGTGTTCAACCTCTTTTTCAGATCATTAATAAATGCATCAAACAAAACGGGAACTCGTATAACTCGTAGAAAACCTTCTACCACATAGAAAACATATAATATGTGGCTACCTTTTGTTTCCTGTTTTGTGGAATAGTGGCTTGTCTAATGTCTTCTATTGGGAAAGCCAGACAAGGATGGTGAGTTTGAGTCGTTACTTGTTCCTTTGAGGACAGCCTCATGGAGAGATGCCATACAGAGGTTATTGATCTTTGCTGGTTTGAGACATCTGTGGATCGTCCTGCACTAAGTTTTCATGAGTATACAGTGATTTTTAAATTGTGAATTCAATTTTGTGTTTCTGTTCACTTAGAGTCAGATTATTAAATGTGCACTTTTACGTAAACAGGCAGTTTCCATGATTAGTGAGGCTGAAATAACTGCACACAACTGGAAGGGTTTCTGGGTTTGTAATGCAGAACAGAATGGCACATCATTGAGAACTTTCAGAAATAGCCAGCACTCCATGTATTTAGAGGAAGAAATGGAAGCCAGAAATGAGGAGCAGAAGCAGCAAATTTTCTTTGCAGTTACCCACCGTTGATAAATGATATTAGCTAAACCAAAGAATATCAATACTCCCCTTGCGTAACAGGACTTACCAAAGTGATCCACTAAACTCTCTAGAAGAAAAATAAGGTGACCAACAGAAAGAGGAAGTGAGCAGAAAGAAAACATGTGGAAGGGTGCACATCCCCCAAAACAGCTTTTAAGAATGCTTAGTAGAAAAATGAGAGGAAAAGTAGAATAACACACAACATCCGAGGAGTAGGAAAACAGGGAGATGTGGCATAGGAAGAAAGTACAGATTGCAGAAAGAAGAGGCAGGGGTGTGCACACACAAGGAAGAGTGGAGAAGACCTTGGTATGGTGTGAGTTTTTGAGTGCTGTATCCATTCCTCTAAGCTAGAGCACAGTGAAAAATTTTTACTTTTAGTTACAATCATATAATAATGCTAAAAGTGTTGCATTCAGGCCCTACTACTACTTATAGTACCACTAGCAGAAATTCTACTCAAAGTAAGCATTCAAGGAATGTTAAAGGCAGCAAAGGATTGAGCAGCAACAGAGGCAAGAGGACATCATCTGACAGCAACCACTTGCCAGTTACCTCCATCCAAATGTTTGCAGCCAAAGGAGCTGTGTGCTTATGTTAACAAGCCTGTTATGTATGTTAATAACACCATTAAGCAGAAAAGATTAAATTGTTACTTCTGCTATAGAGAAGATAACAAAATACTGTGAAGAAGGAATTCTCTAACACCGGGATTCTGACAGATAACAACAGGTATTCATCATCTCCCAAAATTTCCTATGACAAACAAAGGCAGGAACAGTATTTACAAGTGTAAGAGAACTTCTGCGCATGCATTTCTACTGTCTTGCCAGAACTTACCCTCCTTGTAACAATGGGATCAATTTCATTTGGGTCTTTGTGTGCGAACATCATTAAATCAGCATTTAGTGTCCGTATCCTCTGAAATCTCAGGCGAATAAAGCGAGCAGAGGTGAATTCTAGTAATACACGTGAAGGATCATCAGCACTAGGTCGTCCATTAATTAGAGAAGTGTGAATCTGAAGACAGAATTATTAAAGCAATAGGAAATTAGATGACAGCAATGCTGCCACGATTATGCCAAAAAATATCATTCAAGGCACTGTGTGAATGCCTTTGTAAATGCAAAACATCTTCTTTCTTTAGAAAGCAGATTTCCCCACAAAACTGTTCCGCATACCCACAGAGCCCAGTTCTGGAGGGGCTTTACAGTTAAAAGGTTTTGAGCAAAGGAAAGTAATCAGCTACAGAAAGATCATAGCACAAACTGCATACATGTACCAAGGCCCTACAAGAGTGTCCATGCTGCAGGCAACTCATTTTGCCTCTTCTAGTCTAAAACAGGTATTTTCAAGTTATTGAACAACTCAAAAATTTTGAATTAAAGGAATGGATACTTGGAACAGGACTCGGAATTCAACAGGGGTCAGTTTGCACCTCTTAGAGCTGTCATCATTAAAAGACTTTTGAACTAAGTGTTTTCTTAAGCCAGGATAAGGTAGCTTTGGAAATACTGAAAACCACAACAGCTAGATGAGACAAAATAAGCATTCATAAGCATCTCCCCTTTCCCACTGTCTCTTTACACAACACATCATTTCCTTTGAATCTTGTTCTCAGCAAGGTGAAGCAATTTCCTGGGTTGCAACTGTTTTCACCTGGTCCCTAAGGAAAGTCTTTATCTGAGAACACTGTTCAGCATTTGTTTTTCCAAAGACACTACCAATCTCTGCTCACACTGCGGTTTCCGTAAAGATTGCCCTCTTTCTCTGCCTGCCTATCCTAAAGTTGAGAAATCTTTTAGGTAAGCGTGCTCTGTGGCTCTTTCATAAAGAGACTCTCTGACCCCAATTGCAGCATCAAGGGCAATGCAACAAAAATAAGCAATCTTCTCCCGTCCTGTCTTTTAGCTGATCGTGGCATACATTAGCTGTTAATCAACAAAATAAAACAGATGGGCTGCTGCAGAATTGTTCTTGGAAAAGGCCTACAAGAAGAATGTCAGGTATAGCAAAATATTGTTAATGAGCACCTAGGGGGAGGGAGGAAAGAAACCATTAATTTTCCTGTATTCTGAAGTGTTAAATTTTAATTGGGGCATTTTTATTACAGGCTGGTACACTGAAAGAATGTTCAGATGCTAAGCCAAACGTGTGGAACATTAGAACGAATAAGAGAATTATCTGTTCTTTGCAATGAACATGTTGCAAATGTGCCTTACCTCAGCGCTCCAAGTGAGAGGTCAGGCCACATAGCCATTTTCTATCATTGAACATGATCATATAACCACTGTTTTAGGCAAACAGCTGCACTCAGAGTGCCAGCTGGCACTCATTCAGCAGTGACTGCCTCACACTAAAGAAAGAGAGAGCAAATCTATTGCTCACAGCAAAGTAGTAGCTCTTCCTTTCCTGGAGTTTCCGCAGGTGCTGGATAGAAGGATTATTGAACAACTGCTGCCTTGCACTGGCCACGTGATACTATTAACTTATTTATTTTCACTACCAACAGGGAAATCCTAAACTTCATCACGTCCAGCATCCTGCGCCATTGTATCCACAGGTACACATAATCACTGGGAGCCACTCTGCCAGGAGCAACTTTCAGTCATATCTTGCCTAAGTATGAATCAGCACTTCTAGGCTTCTGCCATGTTATCTCCAGGAATAGGTGATATTGGTACCTCCTCCTGAGGTCATAACCACACTCTTACTTCGAGCTCTGACTGAGTTTTGCTCCTGACTATAAGTAATTAAATTAAAGGAGACAGCTGGCTGGAAACAAACAGAATAAAATGCTATGAAAAAGACAGGGTACAAACAAAAGATTATAAAAAAAACCCAGAGAAAGCAAGGAGGACCTCCTGAATGAGAAACATCTGGCTACAAGCAGGACAAAAACACATGACCAGAGAGACCAAACTGCTCAAGTCCCCAGTGAAAAGCGAGGAGAACATGTGTGGAGAGTAAACTTCAAAGGAAATCTGAAGATGGTGGCAATAGGTCTGGTGGAAATTGATAGATCTTTCCAAAAGAAGCACGATTTTAGTAAGAACACATGTATAAAGATTTCTTTCATAATATTTACCTGTGAGCAAGGAAATGCATTTCTTTTGAGTGCTTTTTCATACAATTTCATTTTAAACCAATAAACAAATAATTTCTCACAGTTACTGAAATGCAGCTATGTCCTGCACGAAATGTGGCTCCTGTTCAAACATATACACCAAAATAACACTGAGATTAGGAAATTAAAACTGGGTAATTTTATCAAAATGAATCTGAAGGGAAAATTTTACACAGGCAAAATTAATTACTCTAAATTATTTCTCCTCCTTTCAACATCTGTGATGAAATCATTGATTTCTCCCTAGAAACATTTAGAATCATCTTGAAGAGTGTCCAAGTAAGTTGTTCCTACTCTTGAAAAGAGAATAAGGAAGAAAGTAAGAGTACTTTAGAAACATCTGTCATTAATCAGGAATAAACAGAATTTTAAACTTTTCTTAAAGAAGTTTGAGTAGAACTCAGACTTTCAATTTTTTTCAATATGAGTCTCACAATGAGACATCACTGTGTTTTTCCGGAGCGCACTTTCTCTTTCCATTTCCCTCCACAATCTTGCACCTATTTGTAAGACACTGTTTGCGTGACAGCATATTTTCAGTCAAGACACTAACATAGCCTCACCCACCGAGCATTTTTGAATCAGATCTGAAAACTGTTCCAATGAACGTAGGACTCAATATCTATCAAAATCTATGACCATTATGTCATCCAAGATCATCATAGTGCTTCGTATGTAGCTTTGAGTCCTGCAAAGACTAGCCCCATTTTCACACAGGCAACTAAGGCATCAATGTCCTGTACTAGCTGTATGCATACTGCAGTATGAGCCACACAGGACTTCTACAGCAGAGCTCAGATCCAAACCTGAGTTTCCCAAGAAAATATTAATACTTTAATCCACCCACTGGGCTGCTACAATTTAGATAATCCAAGTCCCCATGAGGGAACGATCTCAAATTTTGCTCAGGTTTTATGGACAACTTGTATTTACCAATTCCAAGACTGAGGTAACCACCATTTTGGATTCTAAATGACAGCAATGTAGATTTCAACCCTAGAAAATTTTTCCTTAACAAAAATTTTTTCCAGCATTATATTCCAACAAATGGGATCTTTGGGGAAAATGAGCTTTCTTTTACAAAACATCTAAATGTTACCACAATTAAAGCCAAATTCTCATTTTGTAAAAACATTTTGAGCACTATCTGATTTGTCAACCAGTTCAATAGTCAGAACTATTCAAGCAAAAGGGTATGAGGACTTTTTCCAGTAGCTGCATTAGCAACTGTATGTTCAAAAAGATTATATCACAGATTCACAGAATGGTTGAGGGTGGAAGGGACCTCCAGAGGTCATCTGATCCAACCCCTCTGCTCAAGTAGGGCCACCTAGAGCCAGTTGCCCAGTGTTCAGACGGCTTTTGAATATCTCCAGGGATGGAGACTCCATAACCTCCCTAGGCAACCTGTGCTGGTGCTCAGTCATCCTCGCAGTGAAAAAGTATTTCCAGATGTTCAGACAGAACCTCCTGTGTTCCAGTTTGTGCCCATTGCCTCTTGTCCTGTCACTGGGCACCACTGAAAAGAACCTGACTCCATCCTCTTTGCACCATCCCTTTAGGTATTTATATACATTAATAAGATCCCCCCTCAGCCTCCTTTTCTCCCAGCTCTCCACATGTGGCCTTACTAGTGCTGAAGAGAGGGGAAGGATCACCTCCCTTGACCTGTTGGCAATATTTTGTCTAATGCAGCCCAGGATATCATTAGCCAGCTTTGCCACAAGAGCACATTGCTGGCTCATGTTCAACCAGGTGTCCACCAGGACCCAGGATCCTTTTCTGCCAAGCTGCTTTCCAGCTGGGTAGCTCCCAGCATATGGTGGTGCCTGGGGTTGTTCCTCCCCAGGTGTGGGACTTTGCACTTTTCCTTGTTGAACTTCATGAGGTTCCTGTCAGCCCATTTCTCCAGCCTGTTGAGATCCCTCTGGATGGCAGCATGACCCTCTGGTGTTATCAGCCACTCCTCCCAGTCTGGTGTCATCAGCAAACTTGCTGAGGGTACACTCTGTCCCATCATCCAAACCATTAATGAAGATGTTAAACACGATTGGACTCAGTAGTATATATTCAAGTTAGTTTAGTTACCAAGTTGTCTATCATCTGGATTTTGTTTGGAACCAAAACTTCTAACAGTTATTGAAAAAATGCATACTCTAGTAAAATGGAAAAACAGAAAAGCCATTTTGTAACACCAAAGATCTACCTATTTCAATGTCCTGTCTCCAGCAGAGGCCAATAGAAAATGATTAGGAAGGAATTTAAGAAACAGGGCATTTAGAGAGAGATATCCCTCTGATACAATATCACTTTCTCTGACTGAACAGTCTAAATGCTTCCTGAGTTACAGAGTGAATCTGAGTCATAGAGTTTAATGACTAACAATTGCCCTTTTCTCTATTATTAGTCTACTCCCTTTTTCCACCATTATGTTTTTCATCACTATAGACACTTGTCCCAATGGGCAGAAATCTGTTTCTTTAAAAAAAAAAAACAAAAACCCAACAAAAATAACTGGGGTTTGTGTGGTTGCTAGGGTTTTTTCCTTTTAAACCTGGAACTCAGATCACGAATCGTTCCAGTGACCGTGTTCTAGTTTTTCATTTGAGGAAATGGTGAGTAGTCAGCATCTTTTTATTTTTGAACTTCTGTATGATGTTAAATCAACTTTTTTCAGAGAACTCTTGAGGATGCTACAAGTTCTCTATTCTGAAGACAATTTAGTCCAACACTGGCCCATCAGCATTCATGCATAATTCTTTTTTTCTTACATGTATTACTTTATTAGCAACATTAATTTTCATGTAGCATTTTTCATTTAGTATCATAAGCTGCTAATAGAACAAATTATCTTAAATTTTACCAACAAATGCTGCTATTACAGAGTTTTCTATTTTTCCAGATTTGTCACAAGTATGTTGAACAACATAGACACTACTAAAGATATTCAAAGAACATCTCAACTCATTAGAATGTCTGAACCATGTCAGAACCAAAAGACATATCTAGCATGGTAGCCTGCCTCATACAGTAGGCAAAGCAACATGCTAAGAATAAGACAAAGGCAAGCATACATAATACTTCCTCAGAGATTTCCTGAGCTATATGTAGTTTCTACACATTCGGTAAGCCTCAAAAGATTTCCATGAACTTAGTCTTACCTTAAATCCAGGTCACCTTTTAAAATCCACACCCATCACATAAGGACTTTCCCACCTCATTTACATGTTGTAGGGAAAAAGAACTTTCTTTTGCTTGTTTTAAACCTGCCTACCACTAAATTCACTTAATACTTCCTCGTTCTTAAATTGGAACAAATAAGTATATCTTTCTACCAGCTCTATTCTTCATTACATTTCTTTACTACTACTTAGCTTGGCACAGGTATCAGGCTTCCAGATCTGTAGTTTCCTTGGATTCCTAAGGTATGTTTCTAAAAAACTGGTGTTTCGTTTGACACCTCACACTCCCCAGTTACTGAGAATATTTGTAAGTGAGGGGTTAAATAATAACTGTTGTAATTCACCTATTTTAGCCTTGAGTTCCTTTTCACTATCCTATTTATCAATTATTTCTGCTCCTCTTCAGTTAACAACTTAGTTTGTGACTGTTTCTCCAACTCCTCTCCTGTAAATAATGTTTCCAGTGCAGAAACTCTCCTGACAGTCTGTGTAGCAAAACCTGATTCAAATCATTAATTTAGTTTTTCAGCAATGACCTTATCTTTCTTGAATGCTCTTTGATCATCTCTCAGCCCACCAATTCTCTGGCAGACTTCTTGAATCTGATATGCTCAGAAAAAGGTTTATTTCAACTTCATATTCAGTCACTCAGAATCTTTTCCACATCTTTATTGCAGTTTAACATTTCATTTGCTAGAGCTTATTTTCTACCTATTTTCCTCATTTGGAGGAAAAGGCATGACTTCCATTCATAAATCATGCTAGTTTACTTTTTTTAATATCTATTAGCTTTCATAGTTTATGGTTTAAACATGTTGTAGGGTTTTTGGAACCATTCTTAAATGTAGCATGCATGTGTGTAATGGTATCTTTAAATTAACTCCGGGATGTCTGAAATTTTTTTAGCTCTTTGACAATTTTTTCTGTTTTTAAATTGTACTTTGGCAGATTTTATTCCCCTGGAATGTTGCATTTTGAGTATTTCCTGGTTATTTTTACATAACAATTGTTCAACTGTTAATACTCCTGACCAGGATCTGTGCACTGTTTTGGACTAAACCATGGGTTCCTTTACTAGCTGCACCAAGAACATTCAGGTGTTTAGGAAATACTCTTTTGCATTATATTCTATTCTGACACCTACACTGTCTGCCAAAAGGTTACAGAAGGCTGACATTACATTCTGAGCCTTCCTTTGACAAGACCCACTTACTTCCACACTTCTGTTTGGGCAATTGCTGATATACCATTAAACCTATGCTGTCCCAATTTAGATGCTGAATTCTATTTCATAGAGACCTCACATACCATTTTATTTCTGCTGACTTTCTTATTTTATTTTATGTTATTCTTAAATCCACAGTGCCTCTCTTCCACAAGCCACTCAGTCATTCCTAAACAACTTCTTGTTTCTGACATGTCTATTGTGTCACCTCTTTCCAACACCCTTTAAGGATAGGTATTAATTAGCAGAGTAAGTAACCTCTCTCAGCTACTGGGTACAGATATTATTGCAGATACTGAGGCAATACTTGGATACATCCCAGCTTCTGCAAAAAAGACACTGGAGAGGACTTGTAATGTGCTCCAGCCAGATGACCATCAGACCATCCAGCCATATGACCAGAATTTCACAACAAATTTCATTGGGTTTCTGCCACAGATAAGTGACAGATGTGGCCCAAGAAACTTTCTGCCATTTTTGGCATTAGACAAATCTCATATACTGATGAACATTGACTTATTTAGATTGCACTTGTAATGGGTCTTCTGAACAGAGAAAAGTATCACCTCACACCCCATCACATATTTGTACACTTTGATAAAATCTCCCTGAGACTTCTCTTCTCACGGCTAAGCAATCCCAGTCCTCTCAGCCTCTACTTACAGGATAGATACTCTAAGTCCTTAATCGTCTTCCCAGCCATTTCCTGGACTTGCTCCAGAATGTCCATGTCTCTCTTTTAATGAGTGCAGAACAGCTCTTCAGGTGTGCTTTTATCATTGCTGAGAAGATCACCTCCCTCAACCTGCTGGTGATACTCTAACTAATGCAGCCCAGGATACTGTTGGCTTTCTTTGCTGCAAGGGCACATTGCTGGCTTATATTCAACTTATATTCAACTTGGTGTACACCACTGCTGCCACTTGCTGTTTCCTCCTGATGCTCCTGGGTGGCTGAGGCACACCTGGCTCATGCATCTCATTGAACAGAGCTCCCAGCCCATTATCAGTACCAGGTACTGAACTATCATGTATCTGCCCATCTGCAGGCAGAGAAGGAGCCTTCCTCCTGGTGTTGGAGGACCAGTTTGCAGTCTTCGCCATCATGGGAGTTTCCATTTCTGAACCAACAGGCACAGACTCTGCCTGCCTCTATTTTGGTACAGTTGTGGCTTCAGGCTGCAGAGTCCCAGACAAAAGTCAGTTAATCTCTTTCCTGTCACCTCTGATGTCGTGCAGTCTGCTGACATCTTCCTGCAGTTCTTTACTTGGTGACACAAATCCTCGACCAGAGCAAACATTCTGCAGGCAAGGACACCATCTCTTTCTGCCTCAACCTCAGCAAGAGGTCCCAGACAGTTCTTGCAGCCTCAGAAGTGAAGATCTGCATCTTCCCTCTGGAACTCAGCCTGAGTCAAGAGCTTTGTTGTACTGGGGTAGTTGCTCCAGTCGGTGCTGGGGACTATGCCCAGACTGTGCCTTGCCACCACTGTTGAGCACAAACCCATTCTTTCTGCCCCTCCTTCCGTGCATGTTTCTGCATGAACTCATGTG